CTTCAAAAAAATATATGTATTTTTTATTATTTAGTTTTCAGGAAAAAAAAAAAAAACAACAAAACAACAAAATTCAAAATAAAGTTGAATACCTAAATATGCAGATCTAACCATCCAAAAAAACCAAAAAAAAACTAAAGACTCGAATTTTGAGTTCCTAGATCTAGGCATTTAAAAATTGGGTGGTCTATATAAAATTTTAAAGTGCAACTTTTTTCACGCAGAATCAAAACACATATTGGAGGGCTTTTTATTATTTTTTCTTAAATCAGTTGCTAGGTTGTTTCGATAACATCCCAAAATTTGAGGTCCTAAAAGTACTCTTACTTAGGGCTCGTTTTGCCTTTAAGGGGCAAATGACATTTTTCTCCTAAGGGAGTGTAAACTCCCTCTGAAAATATTTAGTCGAAGTTGATATTCAATTGGATTTTTCTCAATTAATTAAAAAAAAGCTTTGACCCTTTTCTTTTTTTTAAAAAAACCTTACGAGGATTTCATTAAAGTAATGAAAAAGATACAAGGCATAATAAGCACAAACAAAGCAAAACTGGAGAGAGAAGAAAAAAAAAAAGAGAAAAGAGGACTAGGGGAAGTCAAGGAAGGATCGAGGCATGGCTCACAAGAGCATCAGCATCTAAATTGAAGCCCCGACGGACATGCCATAATCATACCTCACGCGACCCAAAAGAGAGTAAAATGACATCCATGATCGAGTTCAAGTTTCAGGGTGTAGATGCTGGGTTGCAGCACCAGTTGACAACATTAGCTAAGTCCCCCTCAATTAGAACTTTATTGTGCACAAGATCAAGCCTTGATATTCCATGTAACAAGGCCCATAATTCTGCTTCATTTATTTGACAAGAATGCAAAAAAAGCTTTGACGATAAAGATCTTCAATTGGACCTTACAAAACGCAATTTAATAGAGGATTAAAAGTTGGAAAATAGTCCCAAACAAGTGTAAGACAAATATCCAAATACATTTTGCGATATGCTAGATAATAGAAATACTCAAGGAAACCAAATAAATTCAATTTTCAAATTTGAGCTCCGGTCTAACCCAACTAAAATTGAACAAAGTATAATTTTTTTGGATTGTTTAATGAGGAAGAGGTCCCCTACCTAATGGTAAGAATGAAACTTAAAACATCATTGTTTAATGCCCGGCCATCTTAAAACATCATTGTTTAACACCCCCATCCTGACCACCTAGCCTTGAGCCCATTCTTTATTTGAACGCAATATATTCCTTAGGGTGTTACCCATTCCTTATTTGAACACAATATATTCCTTATTTGATTTTGTTTGATTTAATTATTTACATACTGGCATCTGAATAAATAAGTTTTCATAATATTTCTCTCTCCTTCTAGAGTAGGATGCTCTCCTTATAAGGAACATGAGTGGAAGATCACCTTCTCAAATTTTTTGAATTTTAAATTCATAAAATTTATTTAAAATTATTCATTGAAAGTAAAAGATTTGAAAATGAATGACATAAAACCTACCAAAAGTTTCTTATTTATATGAACTTCAACCTAAAAAAGGTAAAGCTGATGTAAAACATGGATTTGAAAATAAGCTATATAATACCTTCCTATTTTTTTTAACATTTTATCTATGAAAGTACCATTTTTAAGTTTCAAATTTTAACTAATTTTTCATATTTATGAGTCTTATAGTCGAAATTGTCATCCCTAAACATTTGTATCCAAAATCCATTTTTAAAATAAATTTTAAAGGGGGGGTGAGAACCTTAATTATGAGCCTTTATAACTCTATCGAACATTAGACTAGTTTATGCAACTAAGCATTTAGTCAAGGGCGAGGTTTGTATACGCCACATTCTTTAATCTGTTTTTACAATTTAAAATTTAAAAAATAGTACATATCAAACAGATCTACAAACACGTAAAAATCTTGAAAATAGATAGTCTAGATAACTTATTTAAAGATGCACTATTTTTAGGACTTACAATTTTTTTTTTCCTCAACAGTATAAGGTTGCAACCTTATAAATTTTTTTTCCTTTAATCAATGCATCCATTATTCAAGCTCATTAATTCCTGTACTGGTATGTGGTTCTTTGTATTTTAACTATTCTTTTACATTATTCCTTTAATAAATGTTTTTTTAATGTCACAAATAAATTGTTTATATATGGAAATAATTACATACTCCATTGGGAGGATTTGGCATATTCACTCCATAAGCAAAATCCTATCTAGTAGTGTTTATAGTATTTCAATTTTAAAAAAATTGGAACTTATTTTTATAATTTAAAATTTAAAAAATAGTACAAATCAAACAGATCTACAAACACCTAAAAATCTTGAAAATAGATGATCTAGATAATTTATTTAAAGATACATTATTTTTAGGACTTAAAATTCCTTTTTTCTTTCATATCCACACATCTCGAGGTTGAGATAAGAGATAATCAATTGGAGGGTTCTCTAACATCAACACATTAAATTTTTGAGATGCACCTTACCTCAACAGTATAAGGTTGCAACCTTATATAAAGTTTTTCCTTTAGTCAATGCATCCATTATTCCAGCTCATCAATTCTTGTAATGGTATGTGGTTCTTTGTATTTTAACTATTCTTTTACATTTTTCCTTAAGTAAATGTTTTTTGAATGTTACAAATAAATTGTTTACATAGGGAAATAATTACATACTTCCTGGGGAGCATGTGGCATATTCACTCCCATAAGCAAAAGGACAAGCTTTCTATGCTTCCTCTAGAGCATAGAAGTTCTATCTTCCCCCTTATTCAACCGTCCATTTTAAACGGAGGGCTAAGATTGCCCCAATCGTAATTTCACATCTCTACACTATATTATTTTTAATTTTTTTTCTTGACACCAAAATTTGAACGTTCACTCCTCTATTAAACTCGCACTAGCTAAAAATATAAAAAAAATACTTTCAATAAAATAAAATTACCAAAATACCCCTGAAATTTCAAGGGGTATTTTGGTCATTATATTTTATCAAAAAATTATTTTTAATATTTTTTATAGGTGTGCCCCAATGAGAAGATGGCATGTACTGAATTTAATGTTCATACAATTGTATAAAAAAAAATACTTTGAGACGTCGGATCTAAAATCAAAGGGTGAGTGACTCTCTTGATCAAAATTGGACGGCTGGATGGTAGGGGGAGGATAGAACTTCTATACTGTAGGAAAAGCATAGAAACCTTTCCCTAAGCAAGAATCTTCTCTAGTGTTCATAGTATCCCAATTTTTCAGATGTAACTACTCGACCTAGCAAAACACTTAAAAAAAAGAAAAAAAATTAAAAAGCATATGCACTCAATAAAACAACTTTCAGAAAAAAAAAAAAAAAAAAAAAATATATATATATATATATATATATATATATATAGTGTAGGTGTGTAGTAGTTACGTTACGTAACGAAACGAAAACGTACTACTTCCTACCGTACGTACCGTACGATATACTAACTA